CCCAATTCTTGGTTTATCAAATGTTGGGCCCCCAAGTTATATTGTTCATGCTCCAAATGTCCAATCTTAGGCGTACAAGGTATTAAGTGTCCCATGTTAGTTGAAGTAACAGGATGTTGTCTTTTTATGGTGTTGGGCGATTCTCGCCTCATGAGCTAGCTTTTGGGGTTGAGTTACACCCAGTGTGCATCAAGGTTTAAGCCAGATGTCCAGTCCAGGAGGGGGGGAGGGGGAAGCAGGGGATGGGGTGTGAGAGTCCAACATTGGTTGAGGGAATGAACTATTTTCTCCTAATTTTGGCAATCATCACCTCATGGGCTAGCTTTTGGGGTTAAGTTAGACGGAAAGTCTATTTTCTTACATTGTATTAGAGTCGGATCCTTTTCTATTCTTAGTTTACCCAATGTTGGGTCCCGTATATTATGTTGTCCACCTTTGAAATGTCTAGGCCTGGCCGTGCATGGGTGTTAAATTGTCCCACATTGGTTCACCGAATAGGTTGTTGTCTCCTTGTACTGTCTTGGAAAATCCTCATATTATGAGTTAGCTTTTGAGGTTGAGTTATGTCTAATGTTCAATATGATTATTTGGAGGCTTTCCATGTTTTAGTCGCTGTCACTTGAATTTACCTGCACTATGCCTATACTGGAGTCATCTCATTCTAGTTTTCTGGCTCTCTTTTGCAGAGAGAGAAGGTTGAACAGTTGCTAGAAAAGCCACATTCGAATTATTCTGCCATTTGCTACAACCTCAAAAAGATGTATCCAGGAAAGGACGGGAACCCTGATAAAATTGCAGTTAAAGGATTAACTCTCGCATTACCGCGTGGGGAATGCTTTGGCATGCTTGGACCAAATGGTGCAGGAAAAACTACTTTTATTGGCATGGTTAGTAAAATTATCTAAAGTAACTGGGAATGAATGTTAGCTATCCACATACACCATGTTATATAGAAAAAAAAAAACAAAACATGCGCCATGTTATCATGGGGTAAATAAAGATCTGGTGTGAATTATGTAAATTGCACTTTTTTCCTATCATTTTCAAAATATTGGAACTTATCAAGCAAGCTATGGTGCAAAATGATAGATGACTGGGCTCTTGGAGCCAAGCTCTGGGAGTGCGTATGTTGAGGGTTTAGATTTGCGGACTCAAATGAACGAAATATATGGTAGCATGGGTGTGTGTCCACAACATGAGTAAGTTTATTTGTTTTCATCATGGCCAAGAACACTTACGGCATCATTTTTGCTATTGTTTTGAATTTTAAAGTGTTGACTCATACCATTTTCTCTGTTTCTTCAATCCTTATTAGCTTGCTCTGGGATACCCTAACAGGAAGAGAACACTTACTCTTTTATGGAAGACTGAAAAATCTCAAGGGTGCTGCTTTAAGCCAAGTATGTAAATATAATCATCAACGCCATTATGACACCCGCTTAACTAAAGCCAAAATTGAGGAACAGTTTGGATAGTTTTCTTATTAATTTGCTTAGTGATATTCCGAGAAAGCCCTATATCACGATGGTGAACTGTTTATTGCATTTTGGTTTCCTCTCTTTGATACCATCCTATTGCAACAGGCAGTGGAGGAATCTCTTAAAAGTTTTAATCTTTCCCAAGGAGGAGTTGCTGACAGATTAGCAAAGAAATATAGTGGCGGTATGAGGAGAAGACTCAGTGTAGCCATATCATTGATTGGGGACCCTAAAGTATGTACAGATCTGTCCTCTTATATTATGCCTTGAAATTGTCCTGAAATTCTGGGTTCCAATTGGCTATTACTAACAGAAGTCAATTTTTTTAAGATTGTCTATATGGATGAGCCCAGCACCGGACTTGATCCTGCTTCACGTAAAATGTTGTGGGATGTCGTGAAGCATGCAAAGCAAGATAGAGCAATCATTCTCACCAGTACTCTACTCCACTCTTACTTATACGAGTTTTGTTTTGGGTTGTTACTATTTAGTTGTCTTGAAGTTTTGCCTGCAATTACCATGCGATAATTACATGCCGTAACATTGTTATGCATCTTTAGGAAATGGAGCAAACTTAGGCTCTATGTTCCATTCTGCTGTCATATAGGGATAACATTTTGTTCTTTTTCTTCCTCTCAGCACACTCGATGGATGAGGCAGAATATCTTTGTGATAGGATAGGTATCTTTGTGGACGGAAACTTCCAGTGCTTGGGAACTACAGATGAGGTGACTGCTATGACCTTACCAGCTAGTTTACAATTCAATTTTTTGGAACTTGACTATCACATTTGAGGCTTGTATCTGTTTTCGGAATTGCGGGAGAAAGGTATTATTCTAGATTAGTTTCCTACTGAATTAGCTAGGATAACATCTATTGAAGGAGTGGGCGAGTATAGGGCAGGGAGAGTGGCAATTGGAGCTTGGATATTTAAATTATTTTTTTTATTTGCTGAACCATTCCATTATATGATTGCTAAATTCTTATCGAGTGTGATCAAATTTTGTTAATTTCATCATGTGATGCTCACTTCATTGATCCATATGAATATCTTCTAGCAGAAGTACTGGAAAAATCTATGTGATTCCATAATTCTTTGTTAACAAAAAAGGAAGGCTCTGAAACAAGTTAAGTCACAATGAAATTGTGTAAAACACGGATTCTGGAATCTGGAAGTGAATTTTAAATTGCAGAATATGAGATGAGCATACTTTCAATGAGTATGAAATTCAAAGCCATAATATGTCCGCATAAACATGTTAGCTTTAATACACATCGTATTCTTCTCAAGTACTGCAACTCTGATTATAGGTACCATCCATTCTTAACCTTGCCAAAAACCTTTATCTATCGTATATAGGCCGTACCAAGGCCTGATATAAGGGTAAGCCAATAGCGAATAACCTTTTCTTCCCTGCCTCCTCGACCTTCATTCCCATCCTGCAGCCAAAGTGATAGCGGCTGTAGCATCCACCAGTAATGTAATGTGTGGAAGAGGGTAAGATTTCTATGTGGATAGGACGTATCAAAAACCTTTTGCATCTTTTCATTTTAAAGGAACTATAGTTGAATAATATAGTGTTGGGTCCTGAGGACTAGGATGGCTGAAGATCAAAACCTAAATGTGCCAGGGGTTGATCATTGATGCCTGGGCAATAACAATTAAGGAATTTGAGCGTTGATGTAGCTAAGAGACATTTTCATAGTCAATTCATTAGGGTTGTCACTTCTACCCGAAAAAGTATCCACCGTTTTCTTTATCTGCTAAGCCTCACAGCTATGGGACTTTCTAAAGAAAACTGCAATCGCAGTTTATCAACCACTCACAAGACCACCGAGATCTTCGACTTAGGTCCCAAAGGTAATTCACCCGGCCCTTTCCCAACCTATACAAGGAGAGCTGAAGATAACGAAAGGGAGACAAGGTCCTAGCTAAATAGAGCACAAACTCCCATTCCATCTATCATATCAGTTGAGTCGATCTGATTCGTTCGTATCTATAGATAACACAAGAAAGAACTTATGACCTCGCAGATGGAGAGGGATTCGAACCCCCGGTATTTCTATAAATACTTACGTGTTATTGCCCCATAGGTTGCTCATGTTGGAAGCTAAGTTCATTTTTTAATGTTCTGCATACTGTATTTGGGAAGTTGGCCCCCCGTGATTTTATTTTATGACCATTTATTTATATTTTTCTATCGGATTTCCCCGAGGGGACTATTTCTGACAATTCATGCCTCATTGGAAATCATGGTACTCTAAAATCGCTACCACTATACCATCCAATTAGCAGAAACTCCCTCTTTATAACCCCGCTGAATGGAGAGTTTTATTTACTGGTAAAGCTATAGTGTGTATGCTGGAACATACTTCTGATCATATAGTATTTAAATATGTTTGAAATGACAGTTAAAGTCTAGGTACGGGGGATCCTACATGTTCACCATGACTACATCACCCGAAAATGGAAGTGAAGTGGAAGACTTAGTGAAACGTCTATCTCCAAACGCGAAGAAAACATACCAATTGTATGGAACTCAGAAATTTGAGCTGCCAAAAGATGAGGTGAAAATTTCAGATGTGTTCCTAACAGTTAGACAAGCAAAGGAGAGATTTCCAGTCGAGTCTTGGGGTTTGGCTGACACAACACTGGAGGATGTCTTCATCAAGGTGGCAACTGAGGCACATTGATTTAAAGTTCTACTAATAATCTAAAAGCATAATGTTATACAGTAAGTTTCATCTGCTTCAATCCTCCATTCTTTTGCTTGTAAGATGTGAATTGAAGTTTTTCTTTTTCTAGACAAGAATGATTCTTGATTTGTAGTAAATGATCATGGTTACTTAGCACATAAAGGTTCTTCTATTGCCCTTAGCGCCCGTATCTTCACTCTCAAGCGTGAGCGACTCATGAATAAATAAATGTTGCAATCTTATTGTTACTAACTTGGTTTGCATTATATTGTTTGACGGCATTGACTATTGAGATTTTTGAACAATTAAATGGTGGTCCCAAAGACTTGTAACTTTAGAAAATGTATCATTTTAGTTGATATAGCATGTATAACTGAGTCGATTTTTAAAAAAAAGAAGAAGACAGAACTAAAGGGCAATAGGCCTATAAAAATATAATGTGCTATTGAGAACACTCTGGCAAAGGATAACAAGCAATCAACTAACTATGCCTCAATCCCAGAATAAATGAAGTTAGTGATACGGATTCTCTATATATTTTAGTATAATAAGGACTCGTTGTAATCTAAATATGTTTACATCTACTGTTAACCTACCACTATTCCTTTCAATGGACTTAGAACTGGTTACGAAGCTCACATAGATGAGTTTACAAAATAAAGCATCAATTAGACTTTACCAAGAGATATTCATACACTTCAGTTCTCACCATCACTGAGCCACAGAAAGCACATTAAACTAGTAACGAATTTATAAAGTGCTATATTTTTGACAGAGAAAATCTATACATATATGAAACTTGCAAAATTGGTATCACTATGATACTGTAGTAAATATGTTTAATACATTAGCCAAAAATGTCATTATAAAGGAGATACTTGTGATACAAGAAAACTGCAACATTTACGACATGTTACCTATGGTTCTATACACGTAAATGATATGCAAAACTTTTGAACCAAATCAACAAACTAAAGGCTCCTACTGCAAAACTTTCACCTTTTGAAGCGCTAGCGGCTTATGGTAAACTGAGACTCGAATAGGATAAGACTATGCACAGTGGATGCTTCTAATCTCATACTTTATCTGAGTTTACATACCTAGGTCCCTATATTTCCTAATATTTTTGTTATGACTATAACATTTTGAGTTGTGCAGGGTCAATTACAACTCCTAGGGTTCTAGCTGATTTGGCATTTGGAGGATCTGGTAGTTGAATATGAGGTGGTATTGGCATGTGTTGCGAGTGACCAGAAATGCAAAGTCTACCAGAATCATCTGGCTCCCAATATACTTCCACCATAATACCTCCAGGATTCTGTGGAGATTTTGTTCCTGGAATTCCCACAAATCTTGATCCCACAGGTACCTGAACAGTAAGAAGAAATGTTACTTATTCCACCATGAATTTAGATTTAAATATTTTCCCACCAAATTTTATCTAAATGAAGATTCTGATAATTGACTTACTCCAACTGATTGCCCTGTATTCAATGTAAGAGTTGTAAATTTTCCTTCAGCTGCTGCACTTTCAATTTCTGCCTGTTTAGCTATGTTCATGAAAACTTCTTCTAGAGTTGTAAGACCGAGCTGGATATCTTTTATACCGAATTCTGTCTCTCTACCTTGAAGCTCAGTAAAAAAGTCCTGATAGGTGTAAAGGCCAATCATCAAACGGATATGAGTTTTAACTTGTTTATATATAAGTTAAATTCTTAAGATATTCTAGGTATTACCGTCAACACCCTCTCCTTGTCATGAGGAATAACGTAAGTTAGGAAGGACTTGTTTTCTTCTTTAGGCACCACGTCCAAACGCTGTCAATAGAGTTTATATGTCGTTAATTATTACCAGTCTGAGAAAAGCAAAAGAAGTATCTATTGACATACACTTTTAAAGAAGTGTTTCAAAGCTTCAGGTTGAGATGTCGTCTCCCCAGAAAAGCTTACAGTAGCAATGAAACCAGTTCCAAATTTAGATTTCAACCTTAATGAAGTTCCAATGCAACGAAGCCTTCCCTTTGCCATGATAGCGATGCGGTCACTTAAGATATCAGCTTCTTCCATTGAATGGGTTGTCAAGATAATGGCACGCCCTTTTTTAGCATCCTCAATTATGTCCCAAACATGCCTTCGCGTTATCGGATCCATACCAGTAGTCTACAGAGTATCAGGAAAAGAAAATGTTGAACAAAAATTATTTTTAGCATAAAAGTAAGAATTCTAATTAATTACCACTACCAACCGGTTCATCCAAAATAACCAACGTTGGATCTCCAATAAGGGCTATAGCAACACTAAGTCGTCGTTTCATTCCTCCACTGTAACTACAGGATCTCACTTTGGCTGCTACCTTTGTGATTTTTGACTTGGCTAATAGTTTTTCTACAACCTGTTTTTGAAAATTGGTTTAGTAATATTTGAAACAGCTTGTTAATTTATAAGTTTATCCATAGAATCTTTATAAAAGGATTGATATAGTTTAGGCAATACATACCGTGTCTATTGAAGCAGGGGGTAGACCTTTAATGTTGGCAAAAAGCTGAAGGTGTTCTTGACCAGATAATGTATCCCAAAGAATATCAAACTACAAATTGAAATCAAAGAGTCAGTTTCTCCAATCTAAAACTGTGGATTAGCAGCTTGTTCTATATATTAGAGACTTAAAAAACAGTGGAGTTACCTGGGGACAAACCCCCATCATCCTTCGAATGTTTGTCATGCCGCTAGAGCTTCGTATGGACTCATCATATACTAATGCTGTTGAAAGAAGCACTCCATGCATGTTAACACTTTGAATGATCATACTACAATGTAATTAAGAAACAAAGCCATTATTAATTACCATCTCCAACAGTAACAGGGTTAATCCCAGTCAAACAACTTATAGTAGTAGTTTTCCCAGCTCCATTGGGCCCAAGAAGACAAAGCAGCTGATCCTTTTCGACGTTCAACCATAAGCCCTACAGTCATGAATGGTCGAGGGACTCGTAAGTTTTTGTTTACTGATGGATTACTTTTGCAGCATCAATAGAGATAAATAGATGAAGTACCTTGACACTATGGAAAGGAGGACCAGTTATGAAACAACAACAGCAACCTTTTGACTTTCCTGGATATGTCTTGATAAGGCCGCGTATTTGAACTGCAATGTTGGAATATCCACCTTCCATAGCTTGCTTTTTAACTGTGTTTTCTTCTGTAAGAACGTCTTCGTCATCTGGTGTAGTAATTTGCGGCCTTGGCAATGAACCTGAACAGACGCTACAGCAACCGCCCTCTAACATAGAAAAGGAATTAACGGATCAGCAGTTTTATTTATTATAAAGGTAGCAGCTAGATAGTTTAGTAAATTTGTGCTTACCTCTCACTTTACTTCCACCTTTACCAGTCCAATATCCAGGAAATAGGAAGTAGAATTTTGATTTTCTCACACCAGAGATATTTGGAATTATATTGTCAAAGTATACAGCCAGAACGAAAAAGAGAAAAAACAATCTCACGAGCCCTATATATACATCATGCTGTTAAAACAATATATATATTAGTTGCATGCAATATATATATAGATTAGATGCTGAAATCAAATAATTGAGAGGTGTGGTCTAGTCTTACCATGGTAATTACGCACGTTGGTTCAGCAGGTAGACACTTTGCCCTAGTACTCCAGTTAATACCCGGATCTTTAGGAGTTTCAGTTGCTCTAGCAAGTAACTGAAGACCTGCATTAAGAAGATTTGGTGGGAACAATGACCACCAATCCCTGTGGCTTTGGTTATAACCAGGGGAATAGGGATATCCACCACTTGAAGCCATCTGAGAAATGGAACATATATATATATATATATATATATATATATATATATGTTATTCTACTGATCATCACTAAAGTAATAAACACTAAACCATTTCAAGATATATGGACTTAATTAATTACCAGAGTAACGAAACCAACAATAAAGACGCAGAAAGCCACAGTTGTTGCTGAAGCTGACTTGTTCATGAAAGCAGACAGCCAATATGCAAAAGTAGTCTTGCAAAAGGAGCAGAAACATAATTAATTATAAATCTATCTCAGTGGATCGGAGAACAAAAGTAAAAAGTTTTCTATGGAGGCATATATACCGTACCATAGCAAGTTGGAAGAGGAAAAAGAGAAGGAACACGACTATGAAGTTATTGCGCAAGAAAATATCAAACTGAAATATCATTCCAAAGATGACAGTGAGAAGAGAGGAGATGAAAATGAGGAGTCCTTCCCAAGTGATCCATGACAACCAATAGGCAGTATCAAAGAGACCCATCATAGTCATTGCCTGTAAGTCAAATATAAACCAATGGTATAATTACTTACTAGCCAGCCAAACAGTATCAAAATGGCAAAATTAAAGGCGATACCTGTCGAAGCTTGAGTTCCTTTTCAGTGATGAAAGCAGTGATTTGGAAGACAAAACTAAATATAGCAACTGCCAGGAAAAAGATTGGCCCTACACTAGACGTGGTAGAGGATGCTTCACCAGGAGGATGTGCAAATTCCTTTAAACTGACAACCCAGGGGAAATTTTGATCTGAAACACAGAACAAAGAAGAAACCATCATTATCTAGTAAATGGATCATAACAACAAGTTAATGTCACATCACATCTCTATATATATACCTCCAATCAGAGTCCTCGCGATTTCGCGCTCTGCTGCTAGTTGAAGTGGGAGTTGGAACTTAAAAGTTGGATCTTCAAAAACTCTTCGCTTCATAACTTCGGTAGAGTTTGTCTGTATACCATAACTGATAATATTTCCATTTATTACATTAAAGTGCAGAGCTCCAGGACAACGCACAGGATTATCGAAAAGCCATTTATCCACTTCTTCTCTAGTGTTAAATGCAAGAACCTGTACAAGAAATTAAGGAAAGAGAATCATGACACAAGACAAAAATCAATGAATGAAACGAGTGATTGTACGCCCATCCATATATACCTTGTTGGGAGGAATAGGCCTACCAGGATTATTAGCCATAATTCTTTTGACAATATCCCCAATAGTTTTACTATCTTTGCCACTCCAAATGAAATCATAGCAAGGGACCTTAATGAAAAACTTGTCCTCGCAGGGGGGGATAGGTGGGGTGACAAGAGGGTCAGGGTCGGGCAAATCTTTCTCAACAGAGGACGAGCGCCCTTCGCTAGCTTTCTGAATGCTGAAGAGAAGGAAGATGAAGAAGAGTGATGAGAAGAGCTGTAGGAATGTGGCTGGCTTGTTACGCCATGCAAGTAAATAATTTTTCTTCAATAATGCTTTGTACTGTTGCACCAGCAGAGGGATTCCCCCCTGCAATTCCATATTGCTCTTCTCTCGATCTTCCTCTCTATCTCTTCAATTTCTCGAGAGTTTGAAACTGGAATAACTACCTTGTAATCCATCATTAAGTAATAAACCGACTGATCTCAAGTAGTGACGAACCGATTTATGTGGAAGCAAATAAGGATGTTTATAACGTTGAACCATCTTTCATTCTAAACCGTACTTTTCTGTTAGGAAAAAAAGTACTACTCCTAAAATACTAGGCTAAGCTACTGCTACTACTCCTACCCACCATGAATTTTAATTTTTCTTACCTTAACTGACAGATATGTTGAACTACCATTTTGCTCCTCGGAGTATTCTTTACCGGTTTTAACTATACCATATATTTGTATTGGAAAATTTAATTATACCATATATCGCTTTTAATTATACCATATATTTGTATTAGAAAATTTATTAAATTTACTATGACAATTTCAGAACCCATAAACTTTCAAGTTGTTCACTACATTAAAACCAAACACTTAACATGCTAGGAGGATAATTACAATATTCAAATTATTAGGTTTTGAAAAACAAAATGTGGAATTGATTACTGCACATTGATTCTGCAATACTTTATTTTATTCTATTCAGCAGAAGAAGCTGGTATGAGTTCTCAGTATTTCAAGTTGTTGTTAAATTAGTTTCTTGATCTGAATTTCTGTGGCTTTTAACTCTAAATATTTAAAATAGAAGAAAAATTGTGTGGTCAATTAACCGTGCGAAGGGCAATTGAGTCATTAAGACAGCAACTTACCGCCAGATTTAAAGCCGAAAGTAGGGGCAGTTCACTGTTACTATGTAACAACCCCTATTTAAGAGTTAGTTACTCATTCCTAACGAACTCAATCGTAGTAAGTTAAAAAATAAAATAAAAAAATCAACGATTGTTCTTTTACTTTACTTACTGGGGCTGAAACAGAGGTCCTTCAATGGCGGACTCGGTGACAGCTCCAGCGAGTTTCTGTACTCAAGCCGATGCTTTGCTTAGGAAAAATTTAACATTTCAGGTATTATCTTTTACTCTGAATTACAGAGACAATTTTCTTTTTTTCGCTTTCTAATTGCAAGTCAAGAAAGCCCATGGCTTAGTTTGGAGACCTCCATTGCACTTGGGAGGGGTGCCAGCTTATGTTGAGTCCCACATCATTCGTCTCTTTTGGACAATCATCGTTCTTGAGCTAGCTTTTGGGGTTGATTTAGGATGAAGGTCCAGTTTCTTATCATGCTATCATAGTGGCTCATCCTAATTCATTGTTTATCCGATATTTGGGCCCCATCTTTTACCGAATTCATTGTTTACCCGATGTTGGACCCCCATCTTATATTGTTCCCGTCCTGGGCGTGCTGAGAGTGCTGAGTCCCACATAGATGGGATAGGGAAAAATTGGTGCCCAAGGTCAATCTTCTTATCAGCTTAAGTTCGCGCGGCCACTATTAAAAGAAAAATTGCATGTTTTGTTTTATATTGTAGAAAGCAACTTTTTTTTTTGGCTTTGTATGTGCAAATTTTGCTCTCTATGATACAGAAAAGGGCTTACCAGTGTTTGATCCGAAATTCAAGGAAATGGATGGATTAATACAGCTAGGAACATTATAAACTCCTTTTAAAGCTCCATAAGATCATTTTAAACTCCACAGGATTATTATACATTCCTTAGGAAGCCTCTAACACAATTAATTAATGTTGGCCAAGTTTACTAGACTTTTTTTTTTCCTTTTCTTTCTTTCTTATTTATTTATTTTTTCTTGAGAGGAGATGCTCAAGATATCATGTTAAAGAATCTGATCATCCACCTCGACGTAGGTGAAGTAACTAAGGATCATCATAAAACCTTCTGGGAAATTATTGCAAAACAACGTGGAGCATGTAGTATTCTCAGCAAGGGTACACGAGATTTATCATTGACAAAAAGTGGAAATATAATTTGGAATTACGTTTTTCTATTTGTATATGCTGTTGAGGATAATATTAGCAGACACCTTGGTCAATTGAACGTGATGGCTTCTCTAAAAATGAAAATTTAATTTTCTATAGTAAATATGATGAGTTTATGGAAAGCTACGAAGGTACTAATATTGTCACTAATCTCAAGATATTGACCCGTATATTTTGTTCGATTCCTTGTCAATTCATTTCATCTGAAGCAAAAACAAGCTTTCTTTTGTGGCACTGTGTGTATGTGTGTGTATAACAGACTTTGTACATGTTCCTTTTTGGTGCAAATTGTGATAATTTCTTTACGGTATTAAAGTTATTAAATTCTGTATCATTTTCTGTTTACAGACTGAAGTGGTATTTTGATTGGTTTGTTTTCATTTTGTTGCAGAAACGAAATGTCAAGACAAATTGTCGCCTCATCTCGGTCCCTATTGTACTCATTATTATGCTACATTTCCTTGGTATTCTTATGGGTATAACGATGGATACACCAAAATTGAAATGTGGCTGCAAATCAGATGTATGTGGTCTGGAATACTCAGATCAGATACAAGCAAGCAGTTGTGAAGTTTCTAAGCCAATTGAATGGCCACCCACTTTACAGATACCGGGACAAGAATATACTGCTGTACAAACTGATTTTATTACATATCCAGACTTGCCCAAAGATTCATGCAGAAAGTCTCGTTCTTGTCCAGCTATCATACTTGTGACTGGAACTAATCAGACTTTTGGAGAAAGTATGCTTTATCTTTTGTGATTCTGATGTACCAAATCCAAACGAGATTTCTTTCTTTCTAATGTATGTATGTCCAATTGATATGGAACTTCATAGGTATCAGTGAGCACCTGCTCGGTGATGAATCAGCTATAGATTCTGATACCCATCCATCCACCTTAATCCTGGTGAGGCCCTTTTCATTTCTTTTGTTTTTCTTGAGATTCACTGCTGTATATATCCTTGACCCTGTTTGATAGTGAAGTTTCTTTCAGGGTTCGACGTCTGAACCCCAGAGCACGAATTTTATTGACCCTGCTTATACGCCAGATGCTTCACTCTATAGTATTCAATCTCAGTGTTCTCCGAACTCCACGTTTCATGGCAGCATAGAAGGTTACCACGACGTTGGTACGACTTATGCTTCTTACTGCTATCTGGCCTTAACACCTTAATCTTCTTGATGTGTTAGATTCTGCATATGTGAACTCAAGAACAAGGCACAAGGGCAAAAAGCTGAAAACTAAAGTTGGTTTAGTTTAATGTTTATTTTTATAAGTGTTGGATCTACATTTTCGTGGAAATAGAACAAGACAGATTTAGAAATTCTTTTATTTGTTTAGACTTTATGAATCAAGCAGGATTAATTTCTCTTCCAAAGGTCTTTAAACTCTGAGATGTTTCGGTCCCAGCACACTGATTCTTAGAACCCATTCGTGATTTAGGTATAGTTATGACCGAATTTAGCACATCAACGATTTCACCAAGAGTCCATCATATCTAATCTGATAATTCTGAGCTGTCTATACTGACGCATATGTAAACGCTAGTGCTACAAATGAATATAGAATAGAAAAAGGTGTGGCAGACTCTTTACTTACATTTCCCTATTGAAGAAAATTTAGATTGGTGTTTAAAACTGCTAGTTCTATTATTTTAGTATTATTGATGAAAATTATTCTCTTTAGACAAAAACAAACATGTGCATCCGACCCCTGGATGTTTATAAGTAGCCCTGAGCTTTCCTGATGTTCTACTGCAGAGGCGAAATGTCTTGAAGGTTTGCCCTTGTGGCGTAATAATTCCACTGAGATCAATCAAGAGCTGTATAAAGGTTACAAGAAGGGGAATCAAGCGAGAACAACAAACGAGATAGTAGCAGGTTCTTTGCATGCATGTCCTTATGCATAACATGCTTTTTTAATATCATGTAAACTATCAATAAACAACTTGTATGATCTCCTTCCTTTTGCAGCATATGATTTCTTAAACACAGATAGAAGTAGGCTCAATGTGAGTATTTGGTATAATGCTACCTATAAGGAAGAAGGAAGTGGAAAAGGTACAAAAATGACACGAGTGCCTGCTTCGGTGAACTTGGTAAATCTTTTGCTCTTTACTATGTCCTCTTACATGTAAAACCTGTTGTTCCTCTCCTTTTTAACAATTGTCAGATTTCTATCAACATGATCGGATTAATCCTTAATGTGCTTTCCAAGAGGAAAGAAACTTTTTTTTTTTTTCTTTGATAATTTTTCGTACTTCATGACTGCATTGACTAGATAGAGTCACTATCTGGATGGGATGGGTTCAAAATGTTGTGGAGCATTTGATCGCTTATATAAAATTTCTGCAATTAATGCTTAGAAATATTTTTTTCACTTACTTCCTCCCCTAAATGGTAAGTTTAGGGAAGACTAGTAGTTTGTTGCTCATAGAAATTATCAGTTGTATGAGTATTAACCATGCAAGGAAATGAAATGATTTTCATCTAATGGTCAAGATCGCTAAGTAGCTGCAGATAATTTCTGCAGTTTTTCGTCATTAAGACTCTACTAACTAATGAAAGTTGGTTAAATATTTCATGTGCATTTATTGCAAAATTTACCATTTCATTAATAAAGTTGACTTCCATTAAAATTACTTAATTTCTAATACAGCTAACAACACAAATGTCATCTGATGTGCTACACTTTGGCTAATGAAACTAGTGCATCAATTAGCTAATCAATAATCAAATTAAACTATGTGTTCGTACAGGTATCAAATGCCTTCCTTCAGTATTTGCTTGGAGGTTCTACCAATATGATATTTGCTTTTGTCAAAGAAATGCCAAAGCGAGGATCTAGGAATGTTCTGGATATTATTTCTGTACTTGGACCAGTATTCTTTTCATGGGTGGTTTTACAGCTTTTTCCTGTAAGTAAAATAAGTTCTGTTTTATCAGGACGGAACAAGTTCAAGCATGTCAGTGGAATAAGCTCTATTAATGCCATTTGTTCTGATTAACTCTGATATCTTTTCTCTAAACAACTACTAATACTTAAAGTTTAGTGTTGACCTCTTCTCGGAGAAACTTTGTATTCAATCATACCCCATAAATTTAACTTGTTTCTGTTTTTCTGCTGACTAATGGTCTGTGAAAAAGTAATTTATTTTTCTGGAGAGCTAAAACAATATGTTTGTTTAAGGCAATCTAAAATTTAGTGTATACACCCCATGATATACGTGTAGGAATCAATCAATTTGAACAGTCATTGGCTTCGACTTCTTTTCATAGTGTTACATATATACTTGGTTATTTTGTCAACCTTAAGCTTTTCCAAAAATGTGGGAGAGATGTATCTTCTTTTAAAAACTAGCTTAATTTCCTCTTTTAAGTTTCTCTTTGTCGTTCATATAAAAAATAAAATTAAAAGATTGCATGTTGTTTTCATCCTAGAATTCTGATGGTATCAGTTTCATATGATATTTTAATTTGCCTCTTTAAGTTGCTCGTATTCATTCTGTGATTAACTATTTACAGGTTGCTTTTGTATCTCTGGTTTATGAAAAGCAACAGAAACTAAGAATCATGATGAAAATGCATGGACTTAAGGACATCCCCTATTGGACGATTACTTATGCTTATTTTCTTGTTGTATCGTCTCTCTACATGTTATGCTTTGTGGGGTTTGGCTCGCTTTTCGGTAATGCCGCAGCTTGTAAATTGATTCCTTCCGTAAACTCAAATTTAGTGGCTAAATAATAGTATATCTTTTTTCTTTTCCCTCATTTACAGCGATAAAGACCTTTCGTTATAATGCTTACAGCATCCAGTTCGCGTTCTACTTCATCTACATAAACTTGCAAATCTCATTTGCTTTTTTTCTGGCCACATTTTTCTCAAATGTTAAGACAGCCACAGGTCTGATGACTGATATCCTTACTAGCTAGCTCTCGCTATTGCAAATAACATGTGATATTAAACTAATTCATCCACATTTGTATGATCAGTCATGGGCTACATGGTGGTGTTTGCAAGCGGTCTCTTAGGAGGATTCTTTTTCGATCACTTTCTTGAAGATACATCACTGTCAAGTAAGTTGAGAATACAAGCAAAACACTTTCATGATCTAGCTCTACTATTTATCATACTTCTCCTAGCCGCATCATACTAGTCATCCTCCAGATTGAAGATAACTTATTTTTCTTAAAACACTTTATTCGTGTGTTTATATTAGGAAGGTTGGCATTATAGAATTAACATATTGGAGGTTTTACAGTTGCTTGGTTGGTTGGTGAGACTCTTCATAAAAAAAGATACAATTTGGGCCTTTCCATTTTATGTCTTCAGTTTCTGGCCGTAACAATGGTCCTCATCTTACCAAAGAGAATGACGCAATTGATCGTGACTTATTTTCCTTGTCTTCTACATCAAGCATAATGATATAATCTTTAGGAATCAAACCAACATGTATTGTTTGAAGACTTCCATGTCCCGCCAGTATCCACTAGATTATACGCCTTTTAGTGGTAACTTCCCTTTGTATTTTGCTTCATGTTTCTACATACTGCTGACATTAATTGTGGTAAATGATTGTAGGAGGGTGGATTGTACTTTTGGAGGTATACCCTGTATTTTCTCTTTATCGTGGATTATTTGAGTTATCCGAATATAGTGGCTCTAGTGTTTATACGGGCCAACGAGATGGTATGACATGGAAAGATTTGAATGATCCCAGCAATGGGATGAAAGAAGTTTTGATTATTATGTTCATAGAGTGGATAGTGGTTCTCTTTCTTGCTTATTACATAGACCAGATCACATCATCAGGGCAAAGTCCCCTATTTTTCTTGGGTAACTCCCGCAAGAAGCAGTCACAATCCACTATGAACCTATTAGAAAAGGACTCTGGAGTTTGTCTTGAAATGGAGAAAGAAGATGTTGCCCAAGAGGTGAGCTGAAATTCATTTACTTTTTCATTTTTTCATTCATAAAAGCTCAAGTCTATTATGCTTATTCTCTTTAGCACCAAGTTGTAAGCCTAAATGCCTGGCCACAGAAACAAGAGCAAGAGTGCTCTAGATAAGCCATTGTTAGGATAAAAGACTAAAAAAAGGTCTACAGAAAACTATGGTGTTCTCTTCACAATTTGCAACACGAAAGTTATAAGACTTGACTTAATAGTTTTCCACGTCTCTTAAAGTTCATCCCCTTTCCAACTATGTCACATAAAATGGGATGGGTTGAAGATTCCCTCTCATTAATTACTATATTTGTTTTGTATCCACAAACTTGACCATGTCCCCTCCTTTGAACAGAGAGAAAGGGTTGAACAGATGGTACTTGCGTCGACAACAGGTCATCCCATCGTCGTTGACAACCTGAAAAAGGTTTATCCGGGGAGAGATGGAAATCCAGATAAATATGCAGTGAGAGGACTGTCGCTTGCTGTGCCCGAAGGGGAATGCTTTGGTATGCTTGGCCCGAACGGTGCTGGAAAAACTTCTTTTATTAGTATGGTCAGTTCTGTGATCTCAATCTTCTGAAAATATATTTTGCAAAATGTTATCTTATCTCTAAAATTAGTGACTTTGATTTGTTCAAATCCTTACGACTTTGTCTTAGTATCCATCATTCTGTAGCCTAGATATGCTATCCAACATTAGCTTTTGTTTATTACTTGGGTTGCTAAAACATAAAATTTGATCTTAGTAGCCAACCTTTTGCTAACAGATGATTGGGCTCATAAAGCCAAGCTCTGGTGCTGCATATGTTGACGGTCTGGATATAAGTAAAGAGATGGATAAGATATACACCGTCATGGGTGTATGTCCTCAGCGTAAGTATGAACCAGTGCACTATAAAGTCAAGTTGACATCTGATTCCTACCTCCAAATTAAATACTAATTTGTCTTATCATCGACAGCTTACTTTGGGATACATTAACTGGAAGGGAACACCTGCTTTTCTACGGAAGGCTTAAAAATCTTAAAGGAGCGACTTTACATCGAGTAAGTTATGGACCCATTCTAAATTGATACCCTAGCTTAGGAGGAAGGCCTGTAAATAGATCTTAACATCCGAAAGTACTTGTTACAACCTACAGGCAGTTGAAGACTCTCTTAAAAGTCTCAACTTGTTTAACGGAGGCGTTGCTGACAAGCAAGCTGGGAGATACAGTGGTGGAATGAAGAGAAGGTTAAGTGTTGCTATTTCACTGATAGGAAATCCCAAGGTATATATGTCTGTCCTGTCATATTTCCTGGACCGAAAATACATTTGGATATGTCTTCATATATATGCAAATTTACCAGGTTGTCTACCTAGATGAGCCCAGTACTGCTGGACTCGATCCAGCTTCAAGAAATACCTTGTGGACCGTTGTCAAGAATGCACGGAAAGGCAGAGCGATAATTCTCACTAGTAAATCTACTTTCCATCTCTAGTTTCCTTGTTTTCCCTTTTGACATGAATAAAAGTACTGCATCGGCTTACTAGTAAAACACTTGATTGAATTGCATCATCTTAAAGGTAATCATAGTGGAACATCATGCATTCTACAGCAAAATCCCAAATTCATTAATGGTGTGATTACTGACAAATATAATCATTTCAGCCCATTCAATGGAAGAAGCAGATTATTTATGTGATCGATTAGGAATATTCGTTGATGGAAGCTTGCAATGCGTGGGAAACTCTACAGAGGTAATTTCAAACTATAGAAATGCTGTATACTTCAATTTCAGAAGTGTGGTAGTCCTACTGTGAATTTATTTATTCTCATAATAATTCTCAAACCGTTCCAACTATATTATCAACAGTTGAAGGCAAGATATGGAGGCTCTTATGTGTTTTCTATCACTACATCATCTGATAATGAGGTGGAAGTTGAGAACATGGTGCGATGCCTATGCCCAAATGCCAATAGGGTATACCATTTATCAGGGACACAGAAGTTCGAGTTGCCAAAGCATGAAGTTAAAATTGCAGATGTATTTCAACTAGTTGAGAATGCAAAGAGTAGATTTACAGTTTATGCTTGGGGTATGGCTGATACAACTTTAGAGGATGTTTTTATCAAGGTTGCTAGTACTGCTCAGGCCTTCAATGAATGATATGTCAGCTAGCATCAAACACATATTAGATCATGTTTTTGCCTTTGTAAATTAGGTTCATGTAGATGCATCAAGTACAGCGCATATGTGGCTTTATTTGTCATGTATATTTGTACAAGGATGCCAACATTGGAATAGAAAGAAGTTGTATCAACAAAGAATTAGTCAGACATTTTTTATTATATTTTAAGCTCACCTATATATATGTGTACTCCGAGCTACTTATGAAGATGAATGATATGAAGGTGGCAGTTGTGCAAACAAGCTAAAAAGACCGTATAATGTTAGACTAGCAAACCTGTCGTGCAGGGTCACATAGGTAATATGCTTGTAGATGCAAAGGTGGATTTGTTTACTCAAAGGATTTGACTTATGTATGTTAAAACATTAATAGAATTAAATATATCACTGTAACATAACTGATTATAACAGGACAATTATAGTATTTTTCATGTTACCAATTGATCTTTACTGACACCTACCTAAATTTGCTTTTAACCAGTATTATTGTTCAAATATTTTACATAATTCAGTATATAAAAGGTTAAACTATCGAAATTATGAATTTTGACTTGCCCTTTCACATAAGGTGAGAGATTGAAGTCGTTCCTCAGAATAATTTATTCACATCTAGTATTTACACCAAATTAAGTAATTTAACCTTCAAACCATGATGAAGTCATGCATTCTTGTTTTCCACCACCCATAGTACTTCTCGTTGAATCTTGGAGGTTTTGTAGTTGATTGTCCTTCCTCGAGGTTAGGTGGAGCAACCATGATGAAAAAACTAAGGGTCCATCAAACAGTACTTCCCACAGTAAACAAGCAATAAGTAAAGAATCAACCACAAGACCTCCAAGTTGCAGAAAAGAAGACACGGGAAATTCAACAATTATGGGAGCAAATATTGTTGAGACTGCTCCAACTAATCCGAAAAAGAGGAAGAAGTCTTCTAGACAAAAGAACTATCCCAGCAAGAAGAAATTCAAGAAAAACTGCCACAACTGTGAAAAGCTTGGACACAAAGCTGCAGAATGTCGTGCTCCAAAGAAAGAGAAGAAAAATGGTCAAGCAAATATGGTTGAAACAAATGATGATATTGATGACTTGTGCGCTATGTTATCTGAATGCAACTTAGTGAAAAATCCTAAGGAGTGGTGGATTGATTCTGGAGCCACCCGTCATGTTTGTGTTGTTAGAGAAGTGTTTGCGTCATATGCTCCCGCTGAACCCGACGAGACCATTTTTATGGAAAATTCTGCAACGGCCAAAATTTAAGGTTATGGAAAGATATTCCTGAAGATGACCTCTGGCAAGTTGGTGACTCTGAACAATGTTTGTCATGTTCCTGAAATAAGGAAGAACTTAGTTTCTACTTCACTTCTCGTCAAGAACGGGTTAAGTGTGATTTTGTTTCAGACAAAGTTGTAATAAGTAAGAACGAGATGTACTTAGGAAAATGTTATCTTATTGAGGGACTTTTCAAACTGAACGTAATGGTTGTTGAGAATAATAAAATTTCTGCTTCTTCTTACTTACTTGAGTCAAATAATTTATGGCATATATGTTTGGGACATGTCAATTACAAAACCTTTTAAAATAATTAATTTGGAAGTATTACCTAAGTTTGAGTGTGACAAATCAAAATATCAAATATGTATGGAATCTAACTGTATTAAACATCCTAATAAGTCAGTTGAAAGGAATTCATATTCTTTAGACTTAATTCACACAGATATTTGCGACATGAAGTCAATACCATATCGCGGTGGAAAGAAGTATTTCATAACTTTTATTGATGACAATACTCGATATTGCTATGTTTACTTACTTAATAGTAAATATGAAGCAATAGACTCATTCAAGCAATACAAATGAAGTTGAAACGCAACTTAACAAGAAAATCAAAAATGATAAGAAGTGATAGGGGTGGTGAATACGAATCTCCTTTTGAAGAAATATGTTTAGAATATGAAATTATTCATCAAAAAACAGCCCCTTATATGCCTCAATCCAATTGGATTGCGGAAAGAAAGAATCGATCATTAAAGGAGATGATATACGCTTTGTTGGTAAGTTCTGGTTTGCCACCGAACTTGTGGGAGGAAGCAATTCTTACGGCTAACAGAATATTTAACGAGTACCCCATAGCAAAACACAATCTATTCCGTTTGAAAAATGAAAAGGAAGGAAGCTCAACTTGAATTATTTTAAAGTGTGGGGGTGATTGGCAAAAGTGCAAGTTCCTAAACCCAAAAAGATTAAGATAGGACCGAAAACAGTTAATTGTGTTTTCATAGGATATGCAACCAATAGTAAAGTATATAGATTTCTGGTTCATAAATCAAAAAATGCAGACATTCATAATAATACGGTTATAGAATCAAATAATGCTGAATTCTTGAAAAATATATATCTGTATAAAAATGAATATGAGTCGATTAGTGAAGTGTCACGTCCTAAAATTCGCATATCGTGATGGCACCTATCCCAATACTAGACAAGCCGACAATCTCAATAAACCACAATTTTTATTAAGTTTAAAAACATAATATATAAATTTTATAGAAAAACCCCCACACATACTGATATAAAATACACTCTCAAAACCCAGTGTCACTGAGTACATGAGCATCTAAATAATAACAAAGTATGACTGATGAGAACATTGTCTGAAAATATAGAAAAATACAATAACTGAAAGGAAAGAGAGTCAAGGTCTGCGCACGCCAAGCAGCTACCTTGAAAGTCTCCAACAGATAAATCCTCAAATCTGGCAACCGCCGTATCCGTAAGTACCTGGATCTGCACACAAGGTGCAGGGTGTAGTATGAATAAAACCAACTCAATAAGTAACAAGACTAACCTTTGGGCTGAAAGTAGTGACGAGCTCAGCAAGTACAGTCCAGTATAGAAATAATAGTACAGAAAATGTAGGCATGCTTTCAAGTTAAACTGAATGATATGAGAAATATGACATCTCAGTGGAAGAACCTCGTATAATCCCAATCACAATTACTCGATCACACAGTACTGTATATGGCCAATCCAGCCCAGGAAAATATTTATCCCCAAATTATAATGATTCGGACAAGATCCATGTCTAGAAAAATTCATCACAAATATAAATAAGTAAGGCAAGTCCATGCCCTCAGAAGTCCATCCTAAATATAAATCATCTACGCTCACTGTGGGGGGTATAGACTCTGGAGGGGCTCCTTCAGCCCAAGCGTGATATAAAGCCGATATGGCCTACTGCCTGAGGGCAGCTCCGATCCATATAANAGTATGAAATGTATATTTTTAAACAATTAAATTCAACAGCAACACGACCCTATGGGTCCCAAAAATATCGGCACGTAGCCTAAACATGATCTTTAATACGAGTCTCTACTCAATTTCTCTAACACGTGGGGAATATGTGGATAATAACATGATTCCTTAATTTTTTTTTACAAGTCCACAAAATTTATTCAAGTCACAATTTCTATGGTGCACACCCACACACTCGTCACCTAGCATGTGCGTCACTTGATATAACACAAAATTCAGGGATTCATACCCTCGGAACCAAGTTTAGAAATGTTACTTACCTCAAACCGTGTAATTCTTTACTCTGCTATGCCTTTGCCTAGCGAAGTTTCTGAAAGCCTCGTATCTAGTCATAATTAATTCGACTCACTCAATCATAGGAATTTATTCCATATGAAAAATTCTAATTTTCCAACAAAATCCAAAATTTAACTCAAAATCGCTCGTGGGCCCCACATCTCAGAACCCGACAAAAGTTACAAAATATGAACGCGCATTCAACCACGAGTCCAACCATACCAAATTTTGACATTAACTCGACCTCCGAATCTCAAATCTTATTTTCAAATCCCTAGGCCCAATTTATCGAATTACACCTCAAAAATACGTAATCTAGTCGGAATACTCAATGATAATTCATTATTATTGACTAACAATGATCATAAGGGACCTACCTCAAGTTTTCCCGTGAATTCTCGCTCAAAAATTGCCTCAACCCGTGTTCTTCGCCCAAAAATGTTGAAATGAGCTAAAAAACAAAACTGCTCAATAATAACACTAATCTGGTCGCTAAAGGTCCAATTTCCGTCACTAAAAGTCCGCACCAGAACCTGCTTGCACCAACAGTTTATTTGTTCACTAAAAAGGCTCTAACTCCATCATACTAACTCGGAATTCGACGATTCTTGTTCCTGTGAGTCACAAATAATAATACAAACCTAGTGTCTCAATTCGGAGCTCATTTGCTCAGTACGATACCAATTTCGCTTGTTAAACAATTAACTAATGTTTCACGTTAAAAACTCAATCGCGACTTGATGAAATTAGACCAAACATTCCAGATCATTCCTATAATTCATTATCAAACTTTCGGAGGTCTCGAAATCGAATTTTGATCTGTAGAACTAAAATTGAACCTTTGGATCATTACATGCTTATGCTCAAAACACCAAACTCTTCCAAAACCTCTTCCCAGATAGCCTATAGTGTATCATCCATAACATTTTGTACCCAACTCCAATTACCAAACGATTTATATTTCTGAAAACTAGATACAAAGGGCTACAACTTTCATTTTTTGATCATCTCCAAATTCCTTACATATTACAAGATATAAGCTTCCAAAGTTAGCTCTGTGCAGCAGAAATTTCTGCGATACACACTGCTGCAGCCAAAAACCAGCATTTAAAAATGGCCTAGAAATGGTCCAAAATCACTCCGAAACTCACCCGAGCCCCTCGGGACCCCGTCCGAACATACCAACAAGTCTCAAAACATATTACGGACTTAGTTGAGGCCTTAAATCATATCAAACAACGCTAAAAATACGAATCATACCCCAATTCAAGCTTAATGAAACTAACAAATTCCAACTTCTACATTCGATACCGAAACCTATTAAATCAAGTCCAATTGACCTCAAATTTTGCACACAAGTCATAAAATACATAACTGACCTATAAAAATTTTCAGAACTAGATTCCGACCCCGATATCAAAAAGTCAACTCCCCGGTCAAACTTCCAAACTTAAACTTCCTATTTTCGCCATTTTAAGCCTAATTTAGCTACGGGTTTCAAATAATTTTTTGGACATGCTCCTAAGTCCAAAATCACCATACGGAGCTATTGAAATCATCAAAATTTTATTCCGGGGTCTTTTACACATAGGTCGACATCCAGCCAACCTTTTCAACTTAAGTTTTAAACTTTGGAACTAAGTGTTCCCATT